CATTCCCAATATGTATTGATATTATTTAAATAAAAAAAAAAAAAATTTATATGTTAAAAAATTTTTTATTGGCCTTTATTTGATGTACAAATGTTTTTGCACCGACTCATAATAAATATATTAATATGTTAATAAAAATAAAATATATATATATATATAAAATAATATCTAAATTATGGTGAATATTATAATTATTATGATTATAGTACTTATGATTCCTAATTATGATTTATATAGTAATCCAACTATATGATAGAATTACTACATATTTTCACAAAATTAAAAAAAAAATTAAAAGTCATTTTTTGTGTATTACTTTAGATTTATTCCTAAAAAAAAATAAAAATAAAAATAAAAGAAGATATAAAAAAATCCTTTTAAATATTACTTTAATTATATCTAATAAGTTATAACATATTAATAATATAAAATATATATCAAAATTTTAATAAATAAGCTAATAAGCCTAAAAATTTGTTAAACAGATTAAATTCCATAAAATATTAAATATATACTATGAAATTTAGATAAAAAATCAAAATTTAAAAATTTATTTATTGAGATTTTTACTTAATTTATATTAATATAAATACAAAAAAAAAAATATTTTAATGAATTTTAATTAAAGTAGAAATGTTTGAAAATATTGATTATTTAAAACAATTTAGTTTATATATTTTAATAAAATTTCAATTAAAATTTTGCTTAAAATATGGGAGGTTTGCTAGGAATGGAATTCTAAAAATTTTTTAATAAAATTTTGATTATATTAGATTTAAAATATAATAATCAAGAATTAAATTTAGTCAAAAAATTTTCAGAACCTCATTTTTCTAGCAAACCTCCCATCATTTAATTAAGTATTATAATTCAAAAAAGACAACTTTATTAGTATTGCAAGAATCAAAAAACCTGTTTGACATAAAATTGGCTGAAAGTTATTACGAAATTGTAAACAAAAAAATTGACATATCGTGATTGGTTCAAATTTTATATGTTGTAAGTTGGAGGTTATATATATATATAACAAACCTGTTTAGTATGATTTTGATTGCATGTATGTATGGCTTTTTTTTTTATTCATGTATATAGTATTAGAAACTATACAAGTATGGACTATTTGTTATGATAAAGAACCATACTGTTCATACATTCGAAACCATACTAAACATATGTAATTTCGATTCTTTGAATTTTTATATTTTCAAACAGAAACCGTGTCCGAGATTTGTTGATGGTTACGCTGGGGTAAATAGCAAATGTTCTAGTTAGCAAATAAATTTTAAATTTATATATAAACAGAAGGCTTATGGTGTCTTACTAATTTATTTAAAGTGGAGATTACAATAAAAAAAGAATTCTTACTTTACAAAATAAACTTAATAGGAAAGATTTGTTCGTTAATTATTTCGTATAGGAGAATAAATAATATGTTTTTTGAGTTAATAGCGAAAAAACAAATAAATCGATTTACTGTATTGCTCTGCAATTTCCAAATTAGGCTACTTGTAGATCCTCGGCTTAAAAATTTAAAAGAGATACATCTGAACAATACGTTATGTTTGCCATGTTTGATTAATATTTTATTAACAAAAAAGAATATACATTTATTACATTTATTCATATGAAAATAAGTACATTAAGATCCAACCCATCAAATTTCTGCATGTTTAGTTAAGTATTTCTTCAACTTCAAACTTATACTGATAATCAGGGTTACGCTAAATAAATAACGATATTAATTGACAAAATAAACAATTTTTCGAGATTTTTTATAACAGAACATATATTTTACCTTGCAAGCTTGCTTAATATTTTTCCATTTGTATTCACACTGTTCAGGCTCAGGAATATACTGGTTTTGATTGTCGGATACCCTAATTGAGGCGCACTCCCAGAGCTCTTTTTTATTATTTCCACTACCGCCACGCTTTTCTACTAGTTCTTTTAGTTCTTCCTTATGTTCTTTCAAGAAGGAGAGTAATAACTTGGTGCTTTTTTTAGTCCATTTAAATCGAGACTTTACATTAAAAGGTTTCTTAATGGTGTTTATTTCAAACGATTTCATAATATTGCTTGATTCTTCCATATTCGATGCTAAAAAAAAAATTAATAATATCAGAGACGTAAAAATTAAGTAAATTTGATTGACTGTACTTTAAAGTTATAATCCAAATGAATTTCTACCTTGAACATTTTCCTCACCACTTAAGCCATCTACTTTCTCAACGAAAAAATTATTCGCATAAGTGTCTAACGTATATTCATAAGCATAATTATCAAAATAGTTAATTTCTTGATGATTAGTTAAATTTTCAGACAATGTCTGATAACTTGAAAATGTTTGCGTATTAAAATTAGTACCACCATGGTGGTAAAATGGAGATCGCCGTTCATTTAAAATTTCATCGTTCATTGTAATATCTTCGATAGTAAATAAGGTAAAATCCGGTGTTGAATTAAAGTTAGAATCCAAAGAATTAGATTCAAGATCTAATTGTTGCGAGATTGCAGAATCTATTAAAGTAGGTTGTTGAAATTGACTTGAATAGACCGGAAAGTTATTTCCGGTCTTTAAAAGAGTCATTTGTTCGTAATTTCTTAATTCGTCTATAGCTTTTTTGATGATTGGATCAAATACGCGAACATCCCAACCAAAGCCAAGGGCAATGTTATACGCTTGAATATGCTGCAAATATTGTTCAAGCGAACTGGCTTTTATAGATTTCTTACATTTAGAATAAATATATTCTTGCAAAGTTTCCTTCGTTATTGGAAAAAAATTTATCGATTCCTCTGGATGCAATTTATTTATAACATTTATAAAATTTGTCACACCTACTCTCGAAGCTCTCGTTTTGATGCTTGTACTTCTTTTACCGCGCATCTTACGTTCCTTATCGACTAATAACATTGAAATCGACTTATTACTTTTTGTAGATGAATAATCTTTTTCGATTGATAAATATACAATTGGTCTTGGCGTCATATTTGTCAAAAAAATAAACTTTTTGTTTAATTTATAGTTTTTAAATTATGAGATCCCACGCGCATGATGGCGCTGATTTTATGCGTTTTGAGATAAAATAAAAATCATAATTAGCATTACTGTAATTTTCTAGATGGTTTTCCGGATATTCTACACTACTATTTATTTTATTTTTATTTTTTGCAAGATTACGGAATTTACCCGAGTCGTTGGCCATTAACATCACGTTAAGTAAATCATATGTTATGCATGGTTTTATACCTCTCATTTGGTTGTAATCTACCAGAGTTCATTTACTGCACCTTTTTTGGCTTATTGCCGTTTTCAGAAATGTGTACAATCTTTCGCAAGGTAACCTAAAAAAGAAAATGAGGGCTTTCCATAGAAAGCAATCGAATACTTTATTTTAATTAGTTTAAATAAATAGATTTGTGCTATAGTTCAGCTATAGATGGTTATATTGATCTTAGAAACCGGATAAGAATTTCTTTAACGAATCGGGTTTGATTTTTGCTAATTGATAAATCCGGTCCTGGGCTGAACACTTAACTTAATGAGACACTAATTAACGAAGGGAATCACAGCCATTGAAAATTTCGTATCAAACAAATTCATAATGTCAATTAATTAACTTATATAAAATGAGATAATCGCTTTGTTGTGCTCGTGTGCAAATGATTGTCATTTCTTGAAACGGCAATAATATACAAGAGTTTCAGAAGTTTGCTGTTGGTCTATCTATTTCAATTTTCACCCCACCCCTTAAAATACATGGTGAAGAAATTCAATAAGACTTATGATATTTAATGGTTCCTACTCACGCAAGTCTATTTATTCATTTATACTTATTCTAAAGAAATTTTTTTTATGGATAACCACAGTTGATGACTAATTCAATAAATGTTTTGATAATCTGTCAGATGAATTTGACAAGAAAATTGATTTAACAAGTTTAAGATAAATAAAATTCTCTTGAGTCTGAAATGAAAATATACAGTATATAAAAATATATTGATAATATTTAAAGCACAGAATTAATTAATTTACATCTATTCATAAAATTCAAAATGTACCTGTTAAAATGAAGATTTATTTAGAAGATATCGATATCATTCTTCGAGATTGCAGAAATAAAGTTATCAATGTAAATTCATTGTTGTTTAATAATCAAATCAAATTTCTGTTATTTAAGCATCCTTGGTCGTTTGTTAGTTACGAGTATCATATGATTTAGATGACTTTCATATTTCAATGGAATAAAACGTGAAGAGTAAGTAGCACCGATACTTATAGATTAACGTATTGATTAATTGGTATCGATATAATGAAGAAATGATGATAATGTATCATATACGTCCTCCCGTTTGATGTTACGGAACGTTCATATATGGAAAGGTAGCGAGGAAAATTTGTTTCATTTTAATTTTTGATTAAAAATGCAATAAGATATCAAAAAATTCTTAGAACCTGTTTTCCTAGCAACATTCGCATATATCACCAATTATAATGAACTTCACATGATTGTGTAAATGGGTAATATTTATTGTCTTTATGTGATAGTTTTGGGTATTTACCGAAACCAATAATAAACGACTTTCAAAATCTTTCAAAGGACTGTCCTAACTGTCCTAATAGAGATTCAACAAATAAACCCAGAAAAAAAAATTTAGAGTGGAATTTTGTTTTTCTTAAAAGAATTTATTAAAAGTAACTTCGGGGTGACGAAATTTTTTTTTTAAAAAAATGCATGTTAAAAGAAACTTTGGTTTGTTTAAAAAAAAATTAAAAGACATGCGGCGATTTTAATATAAGCCAATTAAAATATTATTTTAATTCTTATATCACAATTATGAAGACCTTTCAAGTATTGTAGTTGTGGTTTCTTCTATTTAGACCCTTCTGGGATTATACAATCCTGACTTTTGGATAAAACCTAATGTTCACATCTTTTAGTTTTCATGAATTCATATGAAAACCGTTCCGTTTGAAAATAGAATATCCCGAATATTTGATTTTCGATCTCCAATTCAATTAGGCTAACTGAAATTGGAATATCTTATGTCACGAGGAAATTAAACTTCAAACAAAATAGCTCCTAAAAAGTTAAGTAGCATGACGATCATTTTTTATACTACTATGGTTGCAGATCATCAATAAATCAATAAAACTATATAAGTTGATGATTTTGATTTTTAAATGGATAAATATCACGTGATATATGATCTGAAAAAAAATTCGGTCCTGTTGTAAAAATCAGTTGAACTTCGTCTAGTATTGAGTGGCTTTTTTACTTTGTTAGATTTGCATTCGTCAAAATAACATATTCTTCGTTTTTATTGACTTTAGTGATCCAGTTGTTTTATTATTATAATTTGTTATATAAAATACAAAGTATGTTATTGTACTATATAAGGACTTAAAGTAAAATTGCTCAAAGTTATTTAATAATTATATATTAATTTTAATGAGCTGATTTAAATGGTTATAGAGTTTTTTTTGTGATTTGTAATGGTATTAAAATTTGTGTATATTAATATTATAGGGATATCTTAAATATTTGTGAAATTATAGATTTTTTTGAACACGTCTTCTAATAATAATTTCGGTCACGTGATTTTTGATTTTTGGTGATGAGAAACAATTGATAGAATCGGTCAAATATTTTTGACCATAGTAATCAGCAGTTGTTTGTGATTGAGGATGACGCTTATTTAAATTATGGCAATAATTTTAATCTTAAAATAGCAAGACAAGTAAATTTCATAATTGTATTGATCAGGGGATAATCTGATTAACTTTTTCTTTTTTTTAAAAAAAAAAATTGATTTGAATCGTTTGTATCATAACATATTTCATTTAAGTTAGAAAATAGATCATCCCACGTAATTTTAGAGCTCTTTCTTTCCGAGTTGGTGTGATTTTACACGACTTTGTGACAATTAACGTTATATCATCACAACTTAGCGCAGAGAACCTTGTTTGCTTTTATACTAAATTATCCTTTTGTAATCTATTAAAAAATGCTTATTATAAAACATCTATAGTAGCAGGGTAATTCCCGACAACTTTTCGATGGAATTTTTAATATATCGATTCGACATTTGACGTTGATTTATAACTTCGACGGTTCGTCGAAATCTACTCAGATTTAACCGTTTATTTTTATTTCACTAAAAAAAAAACTTTACACATCGAGTTCAAGTAAAATACTTCAACCTTTGTTTATTTATTGAAAAAGTCGTCATATTAAGTTTATATAATTAAAAAAATTATCTAAACCACTTAATATATAAATTACAAAATAGGGAGAAAAGCAGAAACTCTTTTATGTTGCCAAGACCGAACAATACATTATTAGTAAGGGTATGGTTCGAAATCCCGAAACTCAAATTCCCGACAGGCCCAAATCCCGAAACTCAAAATCCCGACAGGTCCAAAATCTCGACAGGTCAAAATCCCGACAGGTACTAAATCTTGACAGATGATGTTACTGCCAATTTCGTAAATAAAATTAATGAAAAACTAACCTAAAATATAGTATTTAATAAAATTTAATTAAATTTAACATTAAATAAAATAGAACAATATATATCGTACCTGTCGGGATTTCGTACCTGTCGGGATTTTGTACCTGTCGGGATTTTGGGTTGCGGGATTTGGGCCTGTCGGGAATTTGGGTTTCGGGATTTTGGACGGCACCCATTAGTAAGATCCATCAAAAAAAAAATTCATTTTTTATTCTGGTAAAGGTTAGATTAGTGGATGGTCAATCAGGATATCCGTACAGATCTGTCGACGATTGTGTAATGCAAATTATACACAACTTTATCAAGATACAAGTCTTGATAGACATTTCTTTGAAACCCGAATTCGCAAATATTTACTTACAATATGCATGTCGCAGATCCTATTGATTATAAATGTACATGATCGACAACATACATGCATGAGGTAATTAGCATTAATAAATAGTGTTAATAAAAAAACTCATTAACTAGTTAATAAAGAATTATTTATACTGATAATAAATTAATAACTCATAATTATAAAAGATTTTAAAGATAATATTAATTTTTAAACAATTTTACATAATCTTAAAGTTTAAACTTTAAAATCAAAAGGTTATATATATTATATTATCAATAACCAAATATCTTATTTTTAGAAAATACTTTATAAAGATTTTATTAACTAATTTTATCTAATAATATCTAGTCAAAAAATGCAAGAAAATTTAAGCAATTATGTATAGAATTATGATTTAAATTTAATCATACTTTAAATTTTATTTTATTTAAAAATAAAGTTAGATTTATAACATCTATTACATTTAATAAAAAATTTAAAAATTTTTTTAAATAAAATTATTTATCACATCTTATATACAAATAAGTATATTATATAATTATATAATATTGGTCAACATATGTATTATATAAATTACTATACCATTCTGAAATTAGACAACCTTTTTTGTTATAGGATCGCTTAATTTTGATAATTTTTAAAATAAAAAATTTAAGAAAAAATGAAAGAAAATTACATATTTTATGTAATTATCATTTGTGTAATATTATTTTAATTACTATTAAATTATTCACAAATGTTAAATTCATGAAATTATTAATAAATTTGTTTAAAAATTTACACAAATAATATCTCAAAAAAAAAGCAAAATAGTCTAAGTACTGTTAATAAAAAAAATAAATAAGTAAATAAATAATACTATAATTCATATTCTATTGAGAAAAAAGATAAGTTATCACTTATATTAAAGAAAATGAAATAATTATAATAGCAAATTCTTTTGAAATTAATAAAGGTATAATTAGTTATTGTGTTAAGGCAAAAGAAAATAGGTAAATGAACTAAACTAAAATAGTAAATAAGTTAGTTTTGGTTGAAAATATTTTTACTCAAAAGCTAAAAAAAATATATAATTGAATTATTGAGCAGATAAACAGAGATTTTGAATTATATAAGTTAAAATATACTAAATA